CATACACAAACAATGTACGTATTTAACGTGTCACATCGTTTGAAGACAGACTGGTCCCTTTTTCAAGCTATGAAATAGACATATGTTTGTCATAGCTTGACAAAGAGACCAGAAGGTCTTGAAATGTTGCGACACATTTTAATATGTACAATTGTTTGTGTATAAAGTAGAACTTTGATATTGCATATTTTCAAACAGCTGAATCTTATTGAAGAAAGACAGTTCTTTGTTTGTGAAAAATAAAAGTCTGAATTCTTTCAAATATAAAATGTTGCTGTATGTCGATGTTCGTCTTATGTAAAGTAGTACCACTTATCTTTTCAGCCTTCAAAAACTGGGTGTTTTTTTTAAAAGTTATATCTAGACAGTATTTCAAATTCTAAGTGGTTATTTGAAATTACTAAAAAAAATCATTAGGAAACAATACTTAGGATAGGTAGGTAGAGAAACATATATTATTTTATTTGGCCTTATCAAGATTTGTACTCACGTATTCCTCCCTGAGAATGTTATCACGTCAGCACAAACAGCACTGAAAGAAAATTTTAAAAAGTCAAATATAAGGTACACGCTGAGTGAGCTTGTATAAATGTTCTAAAAAGTCAGATATAAGGTACACAGCTTGTATACATGTTCTAAAAAGTCAGATATAAGGTACACAGCTTGTATAAATGTTCTAAAAAGTCAAATATAAGGTACACAGCTTGTATAAATGTTCTAAAAACACAACTCACAGGAGAACCTTTTTTTACTCATACCCCATCCTGGCTTCAGCGCAATGGAAACTCAAATATTACACATACAAACACAAGTCTTTCTCTCACTCTCACATCCACACATTCAATCAACACTTCGACATCAACCTCGAGCTCATCCATCACCCCCAATCATCATCATGATCATATCATCATCATCATCATCATATCATCATCATCATATCATCATGATCATATCATCATCATATCATCATATCATCATGATCATCATGATCATCATCATGATCATATCATCATCATCATCATATCATCATGATCATCATGATCATCATCATGATCATATCATCATCATCATCATCATCATCATCATCATCGTATGTCTCTGTTTTACCTTATATTAGTTTTCTATTATACTGTGACATGAGTACATGTACATATTATCCCATATATATTGAACAAGTCACAGATTGAATGTAATCATGATAAGTGTGTGCCATCTCTGTCTAAGTGTCGATGATACACTCACTTTCATTGGCTCATTGGTTTCTAGATCTGCAGCCAATCAGCAATAAGGATACTATTTTCACAAAATTTAAATATGGCAAATGGTCTTTTACTGATGACCTGAAAAACTTTCTTGATCATTCTTTTGATTCAAACTTGCTCAAAATAAAACACCTTGAACTATGAGTTAATTTACTTTCAAGTGAAAGTGTTGGATGGTTACATTTATAGCGTATCATTCAAAATGTTTTTTTTTTAAACTGAGTTTGAAATGTTCCGTAACAGCTGCAAAATATATCATGTGACCCCCCTAGTTACTTACTTTATCATGTCAGCGATAGGATCATGGGTCGTGTCCAGCTGTCCAAATGAAACAATGTTCACATCAAATAAACATTTAAAAAACAAAAGCATTCTCTATTACTCTACACTGAATAACTTGCTCTACTCATTCACCCGTACATATTCATACTGGACTTGCCCATTCTTTGATTTGGTAAGGTTCAAACAGGACTGTATGGGTGATATGGTTAAATAACATAAATCAAAAGAAAACAATTCAAAATAAAAAGTTGTCATACACATGAATGTATACTGAACTGACCAATAATAGTGATGAGAAATCTTTCCTGTTTAAATTGTTCTCATAGTACACACAAAGTTTAACACACAAGTCAAATTGCCAAGATGTAATTTCACAAAACTTAACCAAACCAGGAACTTAGAACTAGCACATTGTAATTTATGTGTGATTGACACACAGTTTTCGGTATGTCCCCAAAACTGATCATGGTATAATTTAATTTCAGAAGACAGACATTACGTTTTAGTTCATAGTCAATAATTATCAAATTCTGACAAAAATAAATAATTTTAAACAAAACCCAACATTGTGTGGTAATTTCAACTCCAGGCAACCAATCAGAAGATTGAATGACATATACCACGTGCACGCCGAACATTGCGATATATGACGTCATCACTTTTTGCATTGCCTGATTTTTAAGCTTAATGAAATTGCCTGAAAAGTCTAACTTTGGGGAAATAGGCAACATAAAAATGATAGGTTATGTATATCATACTCACCATTTTGAGTATCTCCTTGAGGTCGTAAAAAAGCATGAGCTTTACAGTAATCATCGTGTCATCAACAGTCCTGACATCCCGCACCTTCAAAATTAATCAAAATGAACAATTGTGTGTGACAATTTCTACCAAAGCTAAATCTAACTTGTTGATTCATGTCACATGACAGAACATGCAGTCTAGAAGGCACACAGAAATGGATTCATGAGGTGAGTTCTATAAATGCTGAGCTGAATTAAGGAAGAGAATCACAGTTCTCTTTTTGCATCTCCAATGCAGAAGAGTTCTAATATGTTCAGCATTTCTCTAACTGGAATTGCTTGCAATGTACTTTAGCAAAGATCAATATATGGAAGAAATATATTTCTTAACAAATAATCATTTCCTTTTTCACAATAGCTTCCATTCCCAGAGTAAATGATTTGAGGGTGCTCTGATTATATAGAGAGGATAAAAAACAAACTGTCATACTGATAAATTATACAAAGTTTTATATCCCAGCATACCCCAACATATATAATTATAGGGGTGGGTGGAGAGATGGAGGGTTATAAGAAGAAGGAATTAACATCATAAATAATTTTTCATGAAAATCATGGCAAAAACACAAGTTCTTCAAACTGGGTAGCAAAGAATATTTTCAAAATTTGTGTTAGAAATAAATAAAGGTATTGGTGTACCAATACGATAATTGGGCGAGGAGATTCAACGTCCGGTGGGTAGTGGTCGGCCGATGTACCGGTGCAGGAATCCGAGGTGGAGACCGAAGTTTTCTACTACAGCTCTGCCAAAGGGAGGTAAATACAAGTTGGTAAGTTATAGAGCGTCGACACCAAGGGTTCCATAATTGTAAGTCTTATTAACTTACATCCTAAACACATTTACTAATAAAACTTCCATTTACCAAATCATTAGTGTTAATTGATGCTCTATCACTTACATACTTAAATTTGTGCAAGTGGGTTGTTAATAAGCTTATCATCCTTTCAACAACATGGCGCCAGATGTAGGCAACATTTGTATGGCAAATTACATTTATATATACTTACATTGTAGTAAAACTGTTCTGGAATTACTGCCAGCTGTGTAAACTTATTGTGTCCTGGGATCATTCTGGTCTTGTCTGAGGCGTCACAACCATGCCAGGAAAACTGGTGGAGCCTAAAACAAGCAGTAAAACAATTCAGTTAAAGACAATTCAAAATATATAGAATGTACAAACTAGATATCTGTGTCTGTAAACAAATACATCTGTATCCCCTTAGCCATTGTTCTTTCTCTTTCTCTTGCAAAATAATACCATTACAAAAACTACATATGAGGAAGCTGACAGAATCTACGGGAACACGTGAAACACGTCCTTTAAGCAGCTTCACTGCCCTCCTATGAAGCTGACAGAATCTATGGGATGTCTTTATATGGCAATTCCAAACATTACCACGCACAAATTGAATTCGACAGAACTTTACATCATTACAGGTGTTCTCACTATATTATGATATACAAAACATCTAGACTACAGTCGATTCCACTTGTACCAGACAGAAATGACCACTATGTACACACCGACTGAGAACACGCAACTTAAACAAACTAGAACGGCACTACCAAACATTCCTGTCCAAGTATATATATTTTACCATCCCAAGTCTACCGACCTGCGGCACTACCAAACATTCCTGTCCAAGGATATATATTTTACCATCCCAAGTCTACCGGCCTGCGCCATACTGTATGGCCATCCCGACATGGACCTTTAATTGGCCACTTACATTTAGCATGTGGTTGTCATTTATGTAAAATAAATCTATGTATTAAGGTAAATGAATACAAATATTCCTAGAATTTTATACTGATATGTCCACATTTGTTCAATGCCAACACAATTACACTAACTTATATATGGGAGTATAGTGTTCATAGAGTAGAAATTAATCTTATCATGTCTCTCCTATATTTTAGTATTGTTCTTTTTGTTGTTGCTCTTTTAAACTTCTACTTCCAATAATTTTGTGTGCTGGTCTGAAACTTTTAAACCATTGAAGATATCGCAATGAAACCTGCATTATTCACAGACAATATGCAATGCACTGTCCATAGGTCACTGTGACCTTGTCCTTTAGTTCAAAGGTCAAATCAGTGCATACTTTTCAATAACGTCTACATTGGACTATAACTTTTAAACTCTTAAAAGATTTATGGATGGATCACCCACAGACAATGTGTATTGTCAATAGGTCACAGTGCAGTGACCCCAAGGTCAAATCCTTTTCAGTTTTACATTTGTAACGGTTAGGGTACTCTGCATCATGACTTTTTAATTGCATTAATTTATATATATTTAATAATTTAGTAGCAGGCAGTTCCTGTAATAAACCAACGGCATTGAAGAAATTATAGATACATGGATATTTGACATTATTGTTGTCATTTTATTTTGCAAATTAAACAAAGTAAACGAAGGAGCATCAACACCAATGATTCTGTTACAGTAGACGGTTTATTGTTGACATGTTTCTGTAGGCTAGGCGTACCGTCATCAGAACTATTCCGTAGGCTAGGCCTAGCGTCATCAGAACAATTCTGTAGGCTAGGCCTAGCGTCATCAGAACAATTCTGTAGGCTAGGCGTACCGTCATCAGAACTATTCCGTAGGCTAGGCCTAGCGTCATCAGAACAATTCTGTAGGCTAGGCCTACCGTCATCAGAACTATTCCGTAGGCTAGGCCTACTGTCATCAGAACTATTCCGTAGGCTAGGCCTACCGTCATCAGAACTATTCTGTAGGCTAGGCCTACCGTCATCAGAACAATTCTGTAGGCTATGCCTACCATCATCAGAACTATTCTGTAGGCTAGGCCTACCTTCATCAGAACTATTCTGTAGGCTATGCCTACCGTCATCAGAACTATCCCGTACGGGCTAGGCCTACCGTCATCAGAACTGTTTTACAGTGGCGTTGTAGAGCTTAGGTGCAAATTACGGATCAAATTATAATGACATCATGATATTGTTATTTAGATCACGTGATATAATCAAGTTTTGGAGGCATATTGGCGACATTGTTATCGGCTACAATAAAAACAATCATGGTAAAAAGCAGGACTGGCTTCGTTTGTTCTTCAATGTCAATGAAATACATTGCATACCTAAAGGACAATAGATATTTCTAACAAAATCACAAATGAACGATGTATCAATAAAGTCAATTAAAGTGTTCTCATACTTTTACTTCCTCGTAGGCATGTTCAGCCAGTGCTCTTAACTCATTCACCCCTGAAGACACATTTGAACTCTTCCAATTCAAAGGTTGGAATAATTAATTGTAAAATTTAAGGGGTGAATGATTTAAAAGCTATTTTTGACCTTCAGATTTGGACAGAAAGTGGACTTACTTAATAGGCATAACTGAAAATGTACAAAATGTACAAGATCAAGAATTTAATGTGCTTCTTTCATACAAAATTCTAAAAAATACCCTACTGCACAAATGTATGCACAGTGAGAATTGACCTTGTTGAAGTAGAAGGACTGCACATTAGTTGTCACTAGACGTTAAGTTTCGGCCAGGCTGGTCTGGACTCTTTAATATATACACATACTGAATTATCTCAGACCTGATTTGCGTCAGGCAATGATTTTTAAGGATAAAAAAAGTTAAAATAGTTGAATCAGATAATTATGCAATTAAGCAACCCTATTGATAATGGAAATCTAAATTATTCTAAACCAAACAGCCTAAAATTCTTACCATTCCTCTGCTTCTGGCACAAACACTGTGGGGCCTTGGATGATTCTGCGCTGTACATCATTGTCCTTCAGACGCTTGTAAACAACAATAAGGTGATTGGCATCTATTTTGGTAGCATCTTTGGTAACAATACTGTCATACATCATGGGGTTGTGGAAAATCTCACATGGCCTGAAAATATTTGGAAGCAAATAGCATCAATTTATGCCAAATTATCATCAAATTCCTCATATTGAAAACACTACAGGAAAAAACAAGCTGTTCGGATTGATATGTCCCGCCTGTACGCGTTTTGACCATTAATGCACATGTTATGTTTAAATTTGGTTGGTCTTGCACTTCAAGGTTCAGAGAAATTAACTTAAAACACAAAAACTTGATGCTGATGGAGATGCTAACAATGTCAATGGACCATGAAAGGTTGGCCTCATCCAGCATTTGATGCATGGGTTGAGATGTACTAACTAAGATGGATATAATTGGTCAAAGTTTGGTTGGTCTAGCACTTATAGTACTCTCAGTGAAACTAATTTAAACACAAAAACTTAATACTGACACTGCTGTCGCCAGAAAGCAACACATTAGTCTCGCTTTCGCTACTTTGTGCGGGGAGACAAAAACTAGGTATATCACAAAATACATAGAATTCCCAGAAAATAACCTGTTATCCACAGTTGATGTTCATTTTAAATCTGGTTAATGATACTTGCACCAGTATTTAAGATTAAGTCCTATCAATCACAAAAAAAAATCAAAAAGAAATCTTGACTTTACCACTAATGTCATATTTGCAAGGATTTGAATTTATGCAAAATATTTCTCAGATTGTTTGTGACTGAATCAATATATGATGCTATCAGTTCTGATCCCCATGCCAATTAATGTGGAAATAAACATCCCATGAACCATTTACAGTCAGGCAGAATGCATATATGTCTATACCTTTGGCTTTGTTGTTTAAAGTCTAACGGTGTACTGTCCTACAGCAAAATATCTGGATTTTTCCCAAAAAAATGAAGTTAAAGCAAATACTGTCTTACATCAGTAATCTGCACTGTTTGCTTGACGAAGAAAACATTCGTTTTTAAGAAGCATGCAAAGTTCGTTTTTATTTACTGTTGGTGTTCAAAACAAACTTAGCATTTATGGTTTATACTGAACTGATATTTTAACCTCATTCGGAAAAAACTGTGTTAGTTTACACGTTCTAACCTCATTCGGAAAAACTGTGTTAGCTTACACATTCTAAGTATTACTGATAATGATAAGACAAACAAAACCATCAACACCTTTAAATTATACATATATAGCTCCATCNAAAACTGTGTTAGTTTACACGTTCTAACCTCATTCGGAAAAACTGTTAGTTTACACGTTCTAACCTCATTCCGAAAAACTGTGTTAGTTTACACGTTCTAAGTATTACTGATAATGATAAGACAAACAAAACCATCAACACCTTTAAATTATACATATATAGCTCCATGNTGTAGTACCTAACCCCATTTTTGCGTCAAATTCCATCTTTATCCTTGAGAGCTTTCCTCTGTCTGTGCATCCATTTTTGTGCTGTGTCAATGTGTGTCAAATTATTTTCATCCTTCAGTACCTACCCCTGTTTAAAACTCCTCCTTTGTCCTTCAGATATTAAATAATTATGCTTTTGTGTATAACAACTCTGTCTTTGTCCTTCAGAGCCACTTTTTTGCTTCTGTTCCTACGCTCGTTTGTGTTGGATAACCCAGTCTTCAATTTGCCCTTACAACCTTTGTCCATTTGTGTATAACAACTCTGTCTTTGTCCTTAATTATGTACTGTTTGTGTGTCAAAACTTATCTTTGTCCTTCAGGACCTACCTTTTGGTTTGATTTATTTGTGTTTTACATCCTATTAACAGCTAAGGTTATTTAATGATGTGTCAGGTTTTGGTGGTGGAGGAATGCTGGAGTTCCTGGAGAAAAACCACCGACCTACAGCCAGTACCTGGCAACTGCCTCTAGTAGGCCTTGAACCCGCGACTCAGAGGGCTAGTGTTAGCAGAATGACAGAAGCCTGAACCACTTGGCCACCGCGGCCCCTTCAGTGAACTATCTCTGTTTAAAACTCATCCTTTGTCCTTCAGACAATATATACAATGTATATGCTGTTGTGTATTACAAATTCTTAAGTACTTATCCCTTTTTGTGTATCACAACTCCGTCTTTGTCCTTCAGAACCTTAACCTGTGTTTCCGTATTACAACTTTGTTATCATTAAATACTCACCCCCTTTTGTGTATCATTAAATACTCACCCCTTTTTGTGTATGACAACACCGTCTTTGTCCTAATTCAGAACCTTAACCTGTGTTTCCGTATTACAACTTTGTTATCATTTAATACTCACCCCTTTTGTGTATCACAACTCCGTCTTTGTCTTTCAGAACCTTAACCTGTGTTTCCATATTACAACTTTGTTATCATTAAATACTCACCCCCTTTTGTGTATGACAACTCCGTCTTTGTCCTTCAGCACTAAGAACTCGTACTGATTAGCGGTGTACGACTTCAAATACTGGAGTCTTTCCCGGTACAGAAACACCTGTCAACAGTTACAACGTGAAACCAGCTACACACATGATACCAAAGTTTTCTTTCTACACGAACAATGTACGTTTTATGTCATAGCTTGACAAAAGGACCAGTTGGTCACACGTTCGATACGTACTGTACAGTGTTTGTGTAGAAACTAAAACTTTGATATCACATATTTCCAAACCGAAGAATCTTACTGAAGACAACTACGGTACACACATGCTTCATTTTTGTAAAAAGAGATTCTTACTCTAATGCTGTTTTCAGTCGTTTTGCACCTGCAGGTCAATTAAGGCAAAATATCTATTTTGCATATAATAAACAGAACCAGTAAGATTATATTGGCAAATTCAGCACAGAACAGATTTGTTTTAAAAATAAAATGGTAAAAGTTTCCTTGGACAGATAACTTACAATTTAAAGTAATCAAGTCGTGTTAATCAAAATGACAAAACAATCTGATTTATCTAGTAAACTTTTGGAAAAATTGAAAAAAAATGCCATTCCATTTTTACATACATGTACATTTAAAGTTTGTACTTATTATTGACCTAAATACAGTTCTTCCCTTATTTTCTGATATTGAAGTGTTTATGTAGTGAGTGCAAACGAGATTCCTGGAACAGTATGATGTCAGCAAAATGTTTACTTCTAGCGGTTCTCTCATGTTATTCGAGGCGGTAGGAAAAGCTTCCAAATGATACTGATCCAATTGCGTTCATAGCCCTATGAACATAATTTCTTATGGTTAAATGTCAATGATGAACTTAAGTGGAAATGTAAATATTATTCAATGAGTTTCAGATGTAATTAATACTAGACAGAAACAAATAATTTTTGTACTCTTAATGTGCATTCATGCAGATTGAATTATAAAGCATTTGTGCAATACAAATGTAGGTTCAAGAAGACAAGAGGCCCAGGGGCCTTGATAGCTCACCTGGTATTGGTATTTTTTTTCCAGTTTAAAACCTGCTTAGTACCATACATGTTTCTCAAAGGAGTACAAGAAACAAAGTTGCAAGAAGAACTACATGTTAATAAGTTTTAGTGGGTAGGACACCAAGAAAATGAGTTTCCATGTAATGTCCAAAGGAGGTAGCCTCCAGGGATTGGTCTGGACCTGCGAGGGGGGAGGGGGAATCTTTTCAGATATACAGATATTCCCTTATTCCCTTAATTCTGATATTGAAAAAAATTATATGACTTTTAGATTTAGTATGAAACCTTTGTTAAAATAAAAACAATTCTTCTCCCTACATAACCAGATGACTTGTTTTCAAGACAGAAATCTATCACACATAAATGTTGTTTAAAGTTAAAATAAAAACAATTCTTCTCCCTACATAACCAGATGACTTGTTTTCAAGACAATTGAACCTTGACACAGACATTGGCTATAAACTTACTCTTTCTGGTCCAATAATCAAACGACCTTCACCAAAGTGATTGAACACCACAGCCTGTTGACCTTCTCTTACTGTCTTGAACTTCATGTTTCTGTAACAGAGAAGAAGAGTTGGGTCATAATTAGTTCTGTTTAATGGGGTTCCCTTGATTATTGCCTTCATATACAGGCTTTTTTTATGGCCTAATATAAATCAATTTTCCTCTCTAATTTTGCATACCCCCCC